TTCTTTGACTGTAGCTAAATGTCTTATTTTATTTTTGTACAATGTTTCATGGAGGGACCATCTTTTAAAGGACCTCGTTAAGCCATTAGTTCATGAGATAGAGATGTTACATCACTTGAGTAATGATGGTAATCATAATCTAGACCTAATAGTTCCTATCACTGCTTCTTAACTACAGCTGAGACGTAGATCAAGTCTACATGAAATCTAAAGAGGAGGCATGCGGCCATGAAAACCACAGTGTTTTTGTCAAAGCTAGTAGTAAAAGGATCTGAATTTGGTTGGCCCCATGTTTCTGTCTTCCTCTGAAACCACCGTAGAAAGCAGTGGCTTCCAGGAGTCAGAGTGAGTGAAAAAGCAGTGTTAGGCTTAGATAACCCCAAAACTTGACTGACCAAGTGAGCCCCAGTGGGTATGACGCAGTAATCTTAGAGAAACCACTTCCAGTTAAGCTTTGTGATTATATCTAGGGGAACATCTGTGTTGTGAAAGTCTTTAACACCTGACTACACTTCCTAATCACTATGTACCAAAGAGTAGACCTCAGATCCGAGCCCTCCACTGACAATGCTCCAATTTGAAATTAATAGCATTTGTGTGTTAATTGTATTTTTTACAGTTTTCTATTTAATGTGGGCAGAGCTGTGTATCTATTTATGGCTTTAATATGTATTTTTTTCACTAACTTATTTAAGTAAAAAAGAGAAATAGTAAGGAAAAACAGTTCGGGATATTGTCAAAATCGCAACAGTGGTATCATTTTTAGAACAAAATGATTCAATTAATCCTTATTTAATGAGCATCCCACACCCAATAAAATGTGGCATTTGACGTTGCAGCAAAAAGCTATAGTGGAAAGAGCAGTGGGCTCCAAGCTCATTGTGTGAGTTATAGTTTTTCATTCATTAACAGTATTCCTTTGGCAAGTCAGCTCTTCCTGTGCCTCAGTTTCCTTGTCTATAAGTATAATGGGGGATAGTAGGAATAACCCTGCCTCTATCTCAGACGTGTTGTCAAGTGCAAGACAAAAAAAACAGAAGCTATATAAAAAAGATTTTTAAAAATTTTAAATGCTGTGGAAAATGTGATTTGTTATCATGTCGTTTAGGCTCCTGTATCACAGGCGGGTAAGGGGTAGCTTAAAAGATCCATGTGGGGGTTTATCCATATCTTCATGTTTTAGGACTAGATAGACATAATAGCAATCTGGTTTTGTTCTTCACAAATATGTCAGAGAAGCAAATGTTGAATATTTTATCCAGGTTTGAAATGGACCTGTTTTGCAATGAACAGTGTTCAGTGAAAGAAAGAACATGGGGAGGGAACCTACTTGGATAAATGATCACAGAAGTTTTTTTCTATGGAGTTGACATGTACGCTGAAATCTGAATAGTGAACACCAGATAACCGTAAAACCATAAAAAATGTGGGGGAGAGGAGTATTTCTGTGATGGGAACAGCATTTGCAAAGAGTAGAAAGAGGTTGCTGTTTCCCAGGAGCAAAAGATGCCTGAAGCTTGGTGGACCAAAGCGGGGAGAGTGAAAGGAGATGAGAACAGAGAGGTCCTCAGGGGCCAGATCCTCTAGGGCCCTGCAGGTCATGGTGAGGAGCTTGGGTGTTACTCTAAAGGCTTTGGGATGCCATTGAGGAGTTTTTAAAAGATGGTTCAGTCTTCTATGTTTAAGTTTGAATGGCCAAGCTGGTCAGAGAAGCCAGTTTAGGGGAAATCATAGAAGTCCAGGGGAGGGCTAATGGTGTGTTGCCTGGAATATGGCTACTTCACGAAGCCTCCCTGACCCTCCCCAGCTCTGTCTTGGTCCCTAAAGCTGCCTCCCTCCCATCGCCCCTCCAACACCTCAGATGACTCCTATGTCATTTATCCTATTAAGCCTTAATACTGTTTTGCATCATTTTTATCTGCCCCCACCACCTAAGGTCTTGTTTCAGAACCACATCTTATTCAATCTTTGAATTGCCCACAAAACTTATTCTGTGTCTTCCTTCTAATTAATGTTCCATAAATATTTGTAAAATGAGTAAATACACAAGTTTAGTGATCTCAGGAGTCAGTGTGCCTCAGAATCACGTGGGGAGATTTAAAATATGGATGCCAGGGCCGCAACCACAGAGATTCTGGTTCACAGTGTTTGGTATATTTGTTGTTAAACTCCCAGTGATTCTGACATGTGGTTGGAGTGGACAACCAGGGGACTGGGCTGATTCTGGGTAGTCTGCAGTATTTCCTGGAAGTATGCCACCCTACCCCTTAAATGCCTTCATATTTACCTTTTCCTCCTGAATTTGAAGGCATGACAGAAGTGCCCTGGTTATTGGCTATGGAGTCTATTGTGTGGGGGAGCTGGACCTACAGCACTAGGATATTCTGCTCCAGGTCATTGGGTTGCATTTTTCAGAGTGTGCTATCAATTAACTTTCTTTTGGAAGGAGAAGGTAAATTACTGTTTTTCACTAGACATCTGGAATTTGGTTATTTTTTATCTGTGATGGTAAACAGCAAAACAAGGGAAGGGTTAAAACATGGCTCTTTCAAGCACAGAACTCAGAAAGTCAGGCAATGGTGTGTTTGTGCGAGTGATTTGATTTCAGAAGGGGAAAGTCTTTATTTAACTCTATATAATGTGTATATAATAATATAATTTTTAGGCACCTGCTTCAAAATAGAAACTGGGATGTTGGAGATAATAACAATAAACAAAAATTAAACCAAACCGGGCTCAGTGCCCAGGAAAACTACCCAGATTCCAAGAACTGGGCAAGGAATAAATTCATGGGGGAAAAAGGCAGGAATGGATGGAGTTGTAACTGCCTGCATTAAAAGGTCCGCTCTGCAGTAGGGTCGCAGTGGAGCAATTCCCTGGGACATCTGTCGTGTGGGTGGGGTTCCTGCCCTTCTTATGTCAGTGGCAAACTTCCAATGGAACTTGCCTCCTAAAATGTCAATCCTAAACATGCCAATAATTACAGCGATCCTGCATTGTGTTTGAGCTTTTATAATGCTGTAAAACTACTTGGAAATAAATGGATCCGAAGTAAAAACAGGAACTCACAACAACTTTAAAGTTAGAAAGAAAACCTTCATGTTGCCCAGGATGCCTAAATGTCGAGTGATTTACATAAACAAAGGAGGAAATCCTCTTTGTGTGTTTAGGGGTGTGTATCTAATACAGGAACCCGTGTTTTCCTGTTATTGAAAAGCATTCTTTAATCTTTTAAGCACACTTTAGGACTTGCATATATTCCAGGTGTGTTGTTTCCTTTAATATTAAAACACAAGGGCAGAGCATGACTATCAGAGAAACCTATTAGATCTCCCTTTTGTGTCATAGGAGACACATGAAATGAATGAAATTAAGTGGATAGACAGAGCCCTGGGCAGACTGGTAAGATTGCCTGAATTTAGTTAGGGGAATAGTTGTTCCTAATGGGACTTAACAGGCTTATACGTGGAGCTGTAGGCCAGACAGGCCGTTTGTGAATAGAAGACTATAAAATTTCCTCTGATCGTGGGTATTAAGGGGATGATGACTTTTTAACCATGAAAGTAAATATAATTGGTATGAAATGTTCAGAAGCTTTTAGCCAAATAGAACTGAAATAATGGATAATAAACTTAAGTATTATTTGAAATTAAAAAAAAAAAATGTTTGCTAAATTCTGGTTAGGAGGAAAGGGAGAAGATTATACTGAGATCATAAAAACAGTCTTCAGTCCTGGAACCCTAGAGTTCTCATCAGACCAAATGGCAGGGTGCCCACATTTCCTTCCCCTCTTGGTCCTGCTCTCCTGCTTTAAGGAGCCCTGGCACTGAAACCTCAGTGAACTCTGGTATGCATGAAGGAGACTCTTCCTACCACCAACCATGATTGGAGTCGGGGCTTTCTGTCCTTCATCCCTCAAGGATTCTCTTTGCCATCTGTTGAGCATCTGCATAGTTACTTTGAAAATGTGGGATCTGTGGAGTGATTTGATACAAAGAAAGAATATGCCACAGATGCCCAGTCTTATTAGGATTGCATTCATTACGACAAGTAGTGCTTTCCACCTTTCCTAGTCCCTTAAATAGCATTGTTTCTATTAAATCTTACAGTTCCTACAGCCAGGGCTCAGAAGGAGCTTTTAGGAAAGCTCTTTTTAAACACTTAATTCCTCCCTACCCTTGAGGCTCTAAGTCACGAAGTAAGCAGACAGAGAAATGTCCAGAGTGGCTCTCTCCTGGTGGCTGGTGCTTGACGTCTGTCTGAGAGGAGACACTGTACATCCTCAGCATGGAAGGTGGTGAAGGTAGAGCCAGGCTGGGAGGAGGAGCTGTCCTGGTCCTGCAGGTGCAGTGACCTCCGGAATTCATGCGGGGGGGCACCCAGAATGCCAGATACAGTCGTAATCAGACACAGACTAGATACAAACTGGATTATATTTTAAAGCCAGATGGTTCTGTTTTTTTTGTTTGTTTTTTTTTTTTTTTTGGAATGAGGTATTACTCCTTATCACGGAAGCCTGAAATATTTATACTTGACTGTAAAATTAGAAACATGCATTGCAATTCCCTAGGGAAGCCAGTAACCTCCACTTTTAAAATTCAGCCTTTCCCACTGACTCCTACCTGATGCCGGTCAGCCCTGTGTGTTTCTTTCCCTGCGGTTGGTCATTGTGCACTTGTAGCCTCCATGAAACGTGCTTGGTGTTACTTGGTTAAGTCACGTTCAGTTTGAATGGATGAAGACATAAATGAAGAAGCCCTTACGATTATAATTATATTGTAACTGCTAGAGAGTGGGGATTATAACTTCTGTTTCTTTTGAGTTCACCCCTCACCAAAGGCACACATATTCATTCTCTCTCTATATATATATATATATTTTTTTTTCCTCTCTCTCTCTCTCATTGTGCATATGCATGTGGGTATAAGATAGAAACACCACTGGGTGAGGAAACAAACCAACCTGCACGCCCGCTAATCTGAGTGGTCTTTTCTTGGCAGTGACAAACAAGAAACCCACACAGGCGTCCATCACGAAGGTCAAACAGTTTGAAGGCTCCACGTCGTTCGTGCGGAGATCACAGTGGATGCTGGAGCAGCTTCGCCAGGTTAATGGCATCGACCCTAATCGAGTGAGTGAACTGTCCGGTGTTGAGCGGAGCAGTCTCTTTACCCCATGACTCGCTCACTGACCTTGGAGGTGGTGGTAATTGTCTGTGTCATTTTTCACAAAGCTGTTTCTCTATTTCAGTTATGTGACTACGACTTTCTGATTTCTGTGCCCTTCTTAGGGGGAATTATAAATCTTTTCATCATGTTTGATGCAGAAACCTAAGGGGATGCATACTGAAGAAATGCTACCTCTAGCAATAAGTTTATCAGCAAAGTGCAGAGAGCAGAGTTCAGATATGCCCATGGTTATCAATATGAGACTCCGTGTTCATTGAGGCTTCATTGATCTCCTAATGCCATCAATGATGAGGTTTATTTACCACAAAAAAATAATAATAATCAATGAATGGTATCTTAAAAATTATGTGTTAGGATTCTGTTAGATTTAGTATGAGAACTATTTTATGGTAGCATTATTTATTCAGAGCACATTCTCTTTTGCTCACACCCACTCACTACACGAAGCATCAATAATGAGGAAAGCTGAAATGTAAATTGTAACTATATGCTAAGATAATAAGGGAGAATCTTTTCCTACCAAAGATGAGGGGCAGGATTAATACGGTTCAGTGCTGAGAACCTGAAGGAATCCTTTTCCGAGTAATTGGAAAGGCAATAAGTCATCTGAATTCTGACACAAGTCAATGTGTAGTAGACTGTAGGGACTTCTGTGATACCAGCTTCCTAAGGACATCTGTAAATACTGTGAGATTTGGGGTTTGCTTGATAAACAGAGAAAGGTGTCCTTGCCATGCACCTGGGTGCTAATAAAGACGAGCCTTATGATTAGGACCAAAGGTTTGAAAGATGGTTTAGCCTTTATGAGTCTTTTGTTGGGGGTAGGCTGGAAGCAGCAGTTTTTATAGATTGAGATCAGTAGTTATTTCACTGTCTTTTCCAGGATTCTGCAGAGTTTGATTTGTTGTTTGAAAATGCTTTTGACCAGTGGGTAGCCAGCACAGCCTCAGAAAAATGCACCTTCTTCCAGATACTCCACCACACCTGCCAGAGGTACCTCACGGACAGGAAGCCAGAATTCATTAACTGCCAATCCAAAATCATGGGAGGTAAGTGGGCATTTGTGTGACTTGACTCATCCTGTTTCCTTAGACTCACTTGTACATAAAAACGTTAGGTGTTCTGCACCATAATTAAAGACAAAAAAAAAAAATAAAAAGACTCGAAGAGCTAGGCAGCATGAGAACCATTCTAGGGAGTTCATTGTATGCTAAATCTAGACACAGTGCTAAATCTAAACACAATGTTTTCACTCTTCTCCAAAAGCTGGTGTTTTTATAAGAATTATCCACTTAGCTAAGATGATTTGTACTATGAGAACAAACCTCTCTTAATTAGGAAAACCTTTCAGTTTGGTTTCTTTGCCACCATTTCTATAATTTCATTTCAGAACACTGTTTTCTGGATTGCTTCTTCCTATTATTTCTCAAGATATTTTACAAATATTAATATAAAAATTCTTATAGATGTAGACCCTTTCTTTCAAACAGCGATTAGTCTCATACTTATTCCTTGAATGGTGTCCAGAGCTGAGTTAGGACGAGTGCTGTAAGCCAGCCGAGGGATGAGTACCAGCATTGGCAACTGAAGGAGAAACATTTAGAGGATGCTTCACACATTTCTTTTAGGTGGCATTTCTTTTTAGGGAATTGAAACTGTGCTAAAAATATAAAAGCCTTGCCAATAACTCTGTGAGTTGAGGAAGAGTGTTTATATCAGTGGTCTTTTCTCTGGCCTGTTCTCCTGGTTTTGAAAGAAATCCTTTAAAAAATGCACCAACTTTATCTTAATCAAATGGCAGATGAAGGTCACATTAGAGACATTACATCTTCTCCTTGCCTGTATATATCTTCCATGATATATACATGAATATGAGGCAGAATCCGTTATTCTGTCCTAGCAACCGATGGGCTGCTGTCATTTTGCCATTAGTCTGCTGGACGTTGTATGGAGAAGACGCTGTCCAATACTTCGTTGTTACCCATTGAAGCATTAATGTTCCTCTTAAAGGTGAAGTTGCTTACATGATAAGAACCTTGAAAGGTCTTTCTTAAGCATTGATGCAGAGTCTTTTATTATATCTTCTCTATTTAGTCCTAGAAAAATATAAGAGGTGATGTGTGGTGCATTAGCCACATCCTGTGGTACAAAGATGAAAACAATTAGACATAGATGTTGAAAGGAAAGAGAATATCAAACACTAACCTCTTACTGTTTGGAAAATATAATGAGATCTAGCTTTCTAACATGTCTGTGCCACCAGTGCTGTTCAAATGAATCCTGCTTTGCAAGTCCAGCCTTAACAGACTTGGCAGAAGGTCAAAGCACACCAGGCTTAGGACCACATGGCTGTGTTTTCAGTGAGTGGAAAATTGGCCAGGAAATCCCAGCTTTCCCTCATTATTCATTAGGTAGGATTTTCTCTGCTATCCTGGAATCAGACTGTTTCTTGATCTGAAGTGCCTAGTATGAAACATTTTCGCGTCAGTATGGTCAGTAGCTTGCACGGCCAGCACTTAAGCAGAGTCCCCTCTAGAAATAATGTGACATTATGGATTTGAAATTTCTGTTGCCCTTGGAGATAGACTCCCCGGAAGCGTTCCACTTCTCCATGTTCCATCCTGAGAGCAGAGTGGCCAGAGGCAGAGGCAGTGCCGTAGGAACCACTACCTTTCCTCAGAATGGAAATGTGACGCTGAAGAGGGAGAGCCACAAACTCACTCCACTGTCCTTGCAAGGGACACGAGCCACCTCCTTCCTGCTGAGATTAGGGGAGCTTTGGTTGTTCTTTTCTTCCTCTTCTCCTAAGGGACTAAGCTAGGCAGTCCCTCTTCTCTGTTGCCTCTGAAGCTCTCATTTCTTCTCTCAGAACAGGTCCTTTCATTCGTTCATCCACTCTTGGTTCATCATCTAATTGTACACCGAGTAAGTGCTACATACCTACTACGTGCTAGTTGCTCGGCTACATCCTGGATATGGAGAATCATTCTGTAGTTGCTCCCTTACTAGACACTTATTTCCACCACCCAAATCCCAGATTGGCAGATCCCTAACAGCCCTTCTATATGCTCTTCGTTCCCTTCTTGAGTATCCTCAGACCTCCCCACACAGTCGCACCCAGCTGCTCTGTCAGTCATTGACCCAGTCCTTCAGCTGTCTTCCAGTGCCCTACAAACCCCAAATTATGCAGAGTTCAGACATGAATCCATATATCCAATGTTAAATTGTTGGTGTGTGTATTGGATAAAGCTAAAGATTAATTCTCTGTAGTAAGAAGAAGAAAAAATTAGACCAAGTGCCAGAATTGGCTCTACATTTTGTGACCATTGGTGTCTCTCATCTTCCTTCGACCTCAGTTTTCCCTGGTGTAACATGTGGAGGTTAGACTAGATGATATCTAAAATCCTTTTCAGTTCTATCATTTTGAGAATTTATAATTCCTAAGTTATAGCTTACTGTGGAGGTTAGCCACTTATTAATTTAAGAATCAAAACTTTGGTGTAGTTAAATATTGACTGGTCCCGATTCCTAAGGAAGGCAAAAAAGTTTGAATTAAGCACAATGTAATTTGTGGGAGCACATATGTGCTTAATGAGTGCAACCTGTCTTATTTAAATAGTTGCTTGTCCTTGGTAACAGTTGTACCAACACACCCTAGTTAATTAGCACACTGATTAGTCTTCCTTTCTGCCAGTTATTGTGATTTGGTGACTTAAAAATTATGTAATTCTTGGGTCACTACGTTCCAACCCCTTTAACTTTTGGGATACCTACCCCATCTTCAGCAGATGAGATCTGTTCCAACTTTCACAAATATCCTTTTGTCTGCCTTTATAGCGTGGGCCACAAGTTGTAGACATAATTGTTTTTTGTACTGTGAGATGTGATAGATTCTGCGATCTTAGAGAACTAACATTGATGTTGGTATGCTGCCCTGCACCAGGTTCTTTACATATTTTATCTCATTTCATTTTTACAGCAGCCTTTGGAAATACATTGTCTCCCTTTTACAGAGAAGGAAATGGGATCAGAGAGATTATTAAATAGCTTGCCAAGGTTCATATAGCTAGTAAGTGGCAGAGATGAGATTCAAACACAGGCCCTCTCCACTCTAAAAGCATCTTCCTCAGGGCCACTGAGCGCCCCAGTCCAGGGAACACCACTGATGTTGTCTTTGGTATGAATGGTGCCCCCTGGAGTTGTGCAGGAATTTTTGGAAATGTTTAATTCAGCACATTCCTTGGTATTAAAAAAGGGATATAAAAGAGGGCGAGAGATTATAGGTAGTTTCAACTTTTGTCTAGTTTTATCACAGATATATAATTAAGATGGTAACTCTTAAGCTTTTTTTTTTTTTTTGTCCTGAGAATGAACGATCATCAGGAAATAAAGGTCATCGAGGACCCTTAAAATCATCTTGCTTTTTGTTTTTGTTCATCTGAACTTCAGTATATTAAAGAGATGAACTGTCTTAGTGAATGGGGCATATGATGGAGCCCTGGCTACTCACTGGGCCTCTCAAATATTCTGCATCTGGTCCAACTCCATCATTAGGAAAACTGAGGCCCAGTGATTTTGAATGACTTTACCAAGGTCACAGGCCTGGAAGCAAGTCTGCCTGACTCCCACTGAACCATACTTTTTTTAATACCAGTTCAAATAAGATTATCATTTAAATATCTACAATTTCATGCAGTTCTTCTCTTGTATTTTAGTTGTATATATCCCATATGACCATGTTTTTCTTCTTTCCTTGGGGAAAGTCAGTTACACAGAAATGGATTCTTTAGCATGCTTGAAATTCTCTCCTCCAAACATATGTCCTTATCTCCAGAGGACAGACTGGGAAGCTTTGATCTTCTGATGTTGGTTACAGAATCCAGGAGACACGTGTGCAGTCTACAGGAGTGGGTGAAGGCCCTTGTAAATTGAAAGAGGGCAGGATGCTCTAAGCAAGTGTGAAGGGGGGAAGTGTTGGTTTCTTCTCATGCTCTGTCAGCATCTTTGCAGCCGTCTTCTCTTCTCTGGATGGTTGGAGGACCTGTAAGCTAGGACAAATTCCTCAAGCCTTGGTCTTTCCTAACCTCCACTCTACCTCTCTTTTAGTTCATTAAAGATCGGTAACCTTCAAAAATACAAAGCCATTCATTTAGTTACTAGGTCCCTAAGCTACCCAGCAACCCACAGAGATTGAAGGCAAAGGTGTGGAGTCAATCTGGCTCCTGAAATGTGACATGGCCTCATGGCATCATCAGAGGCGCTGAAAGTGAAGTCTTAGGTTCATATAGGTTATATTTACTTCTTCTGAGATGGTAGCATTTTTCTGTTTATTGCAAGCAGAGATGATGATATACTGTTACATGTGTAATAACACATTTGTACTTCAAAGATGCCTTGGAGGAGTTAATCACATGTGTATAACTTTAGACTCCGGAAGAGAGACTTGCTTTCAAATAATTCATTTCAAAGAAACATGTTCTGCTCCAAAGAATAGATTAGATAATGGGCGTGTCATATTAAGTCCAGATCCCAAGGGGGACTTTGTTGTTTTGATTTCTTCATTCTTCTTAGTAAAATGTAGGCAAATCCCACAAGGTCCCCCATCACTATTTTCTTTACACTGAACTTTTGTAGTGTTTACTGTTGGCCTATTTTTTTTTTTTTTTTTTTTACCTGAACTGTGAACTATGGAAATCTTTAGTAGTGTTGGCAACTTCTGTGTTAGAACCACGAAGTAGATTCTTTACAAATGTGTTTTCTTTTTTAATGTGTTGCAAATTATTTGCAGAAAAAAATATGATTTATCCTTCAAGAGGATGTTCTGTACAAACTGAAGCGTATCCTAGCATTTTTCTTGAACTCTAACCCCAAACACCCTTGGCTAACTCAATTACCTCTTACTCTTTCTCCTGTTTTATGGGTCATCCTTCAGTGGGCCCCACCTATATCATTTGTGTCCTGGTTGTGCACATTTCCTCATGATTCCACAGGCATTTACTTGGCACCGTCTGCCTGTTAGGCACTGAGCTAACTCTGGACATCCAACAAT